CTCCGTGTGCTCCGTGCTCCGTGTGTTCCGTGCTCCGTGCTCCGTGTTTTACTAAATTAATAGCCGTAAATTTTTTAATAAAAACATACGTTCAAAAATGGAGCAGATTGTTGATTTCCAAGTTTCCAAAGAAGTGTATGTCCGTCTAGGGCGCAGGCTAATAAGGGCGGCGAAGTGACACATTTTGTCGTACGGATACTGATATACCGCAAGCATTGACCATGCATTGTGCCTAAGGGCTGTTTTCCAGTTACGCGTTTTTCACACGTCCGACAGAAAAGTTTAAATCTTTCATATTAGTGCAAATAACCTTAACAAATACACATTAAATCATACACAAAACTGAATGCTGTCCTTTTATAAATTTAGTTATTTCATAAGTAGGATGTCAAGCGATTTCAACTTTTACGTGCGTGAGAACGCGTAACTGGAATGCAGCCTGGCAGCATGCTCGGAACTCAACTCAAATTACAGTTGTCATTTGCGACTTAACACATGAACAGGCATGGCAAACAATTGCTCTGTTTGTCAGCGTCCAAATACGAAATATTCATGTGTAAATTGCGCTGCAATTACTACTACAGCGCTGCAATTACTACTACAGCGCTGCAATTACTACTACAGCGCTGCAATTACTACTACAGCTTTGATAATCACCATGCATACTTCTACTTTGTACACAAATACAATTAAAATGCACAATTGTTTCTAAAGTTACGAGTCACGCGAAAGATGAGGGGGGAAAGAAGCTAAGGAGTGACAATGACCGGCATAAATTCCGCTGTGACCGGTAAATTTAGTGATCCACCAGTCATAATGACCGCTATAACATCCAGATTTATTTCGAGGCCTGTATCACAATGTGCGCCACCATACTCTCTCTGAAATCTGTATAGCTATCACAAGGGTTTACATTTGACTTATACACAGGAAATTTCTATTTTTGAATTTTGCTGCCAGGAAGAAAAATATATTTTCTAGGCCTGAAATGTTCACCCCGTCGAAAATTTGGCGAATGAAAAAAATTTCGGGCAAATTTCTTTCAGCCTCCATAGAACAGCTTGCAGTCTACATAGTAACCATAGTAACCAACCTCCATAGTATTCAAATTGATCAGAATACCCTGCGGGAGCTGATTAAGCACTGAAATTTGTGAGAATATGTTATTGATGTTGGTACGTCAGTTGGCTGGCTCCGGGCGCTCTTATTGGCGCGCTGGAAAATTGGAAGATGTTATTCGTCGTTCGGGGCATCAGAACCTCAAGCGATTTGTTTCGATTGCAAAACGTTGCCCTCTATAATCCTCGCCTGGGGGATTTTGTCACCCATGTCCTGGGAGATGATGTGGATGCTAAGATGGTGTCGAAAATGTATAAGTCTGCGTTGAACCTGTAGCGCGTTGCCGATTCTCCTAGTTTCTTGTCCAGACCACGGCTTCTCGAGATTGGCCTTATCCCAGATCCCGCAGCCCTCAGTTGCCCACACGGGAAGATGTTTTAGATGTCGACAAGTTGGGTAGTTTTGCGCGCAATCGTCCACAGCTAGGACCAAAGTGGTCAACATACATTATTTGTTTTCCCAGTTGGAATTGAAAACTAAATACATCGTGTGTTTCCCACTTGGGATTGAATTGTTGTTTGTTTTTTTTTGTCAGACTGTGGGCAGCCTCATTTCATAGGGTCTAGTACTCTAGCTAGGTTATCTCGCTTACCTTGTGGAGGTCAACTTTTCCAGGACTAACTCACTAACTGTCCTCTGCTGTTTCCTTGGGGGTCTTTTTTCGTTTATTTATGGCTTTCCAGTTTCCTTTCCTTTAGCCGCCGACCACACACCCCTGCTTTCAACAATTTATTGTGCCTGAATGGAAAGTTACGGCTGGTTGTGATCCGGTCACTCCGGTGGCGGTTATGGAGCTATTTTCTTAGTGTTCTCCCTGTTCCTCAGGAGGGGTCACCACTCTGGTTGGTATGGGAGGGTGAAACAGCTCATAGCTTCCGGCCGGGTCAATGGTGCTGTTACTCTCACTCTGTCAGGTTCAGCTCTAGCTGATGTTATTGTGATGTACGGGTTAGAGACGGGGGACTGGGGGGATTCAAGATGGCGTAACTGAGTGAAAGCTTAAATTGTATATTGTATTAAGATTGAATAAAACCGTTGAGTTCGAGAATATTATATTGGCGACGAGGACTAAAATTGCAACAACATTTTACTCTGGAAACATTGTAATTGATAAGGGATACGATACACGTTGGAGTAGTGTTTTTATTACGTTTGAAATTCAGAAATTGAAATCCGAAAATCGATAAAATTTTGGGAATAATCCAATATGGCGACTGCATTGGATTTGTCAGGTTTGGGAAATTTTGATCCGCATTCGGATCCAACTACATTATCTGTACGATGGAAAGAATGGTTACGGCGCTACGAACGGTTTCTGGTTGCTATGGATATAAAAGATGATACTCGGAAACGTGCTCTATTGCTATATGCAGCGGGAAACGAAGTAGAAAAAATTTTTGCAACGTTGTCTGAGGTAGGGGAAGAAAAAGATTACAAGAAAGCGGTTGAAAAGCTGAACGAGTATTTTTTACCTAAGAAAAATGTGTTACTTGAAACCCATAAATTTCGCCAGTTAAAACAAATAACTGAGGAAACAATTGATCAATATTGTACCAGGCTTAGACAACAAGCCATCATCTGTGAATTCTCTAACAGTGAAAATGAGATTAAAATCCAGCTTGTTGAAGGATGTTTATCATCGCGAGTGAGAAGAAAAGCCATTCAGGATGATTTATCATTAGCAAACATATTAGCATATGCAAGATCTCTTGAAATAACAGATAAAGCCGTCAAAACATTAGAAGAAGATTGTGGGCATTTAGCTCCGTCCTTGAGTGCGGTTAATGCTATACATAACCAACAAGACAAGTCGAGTCAGTATCATGAACGAACGAACA